TAATTATACCACCACGGAAATGTGCTGCCTCAAGTCCATCCTTGGCTTGACTGGCTGATGCACCATCTTGGAGATGCCCACTCCACCCTCTTCAGAGCTCCGGGTCCATGAGCCCTCACATTTGCAGTGGCCCCTCGGCCTCCCTGAGCCTCTGGCTCCGCTCTCTTATCGCAGAAAGGCATTTCATTCTTCGAGATCAGGCAGCCAGGACCCAAGGAGCTGTTTTCCTCCATTGTGCAAGCATGACAAATCATTAATTTTTGATTGATTTGCTTAGAATTATGGGCGTCCCAGCATTCTTTCCGCCGCTGAACAGCTGTATAACAAATGAATATATCAGTGTGCACAAAAGATTGGCGATCTAAGAGAAGCAATTACATTGGCCACCCTCCCCCACTCTCACCCCTTCCCGGGCAATGAAGGAAGGAAATTTTTACCAGAAATTCCTCAAGTGGCTTTAAAAAAAAAAAAAGCCTTTTTATAATTGAATTAAGTCTTTATCTCTTCATCTTTTGCAGCAGATTTCCAAGCACACACCAGTTCCCCATGTGCTTGCTTGGGTTCCATCCATCCAGGAAGAATCTTTAATAATGAAATTTCAACTCACAAATTAAAACCAAAATGAAAAAAGGAAAAAAAAAAAAAAGGAGCAAATTCTACCCCTCCTTTTTGCTTTTTTTTTTTTTCGGTCGCTGCTATTCCTTTAAGATTTTGGAACCGTACCAGTGCACTAAATGTGACCTCCATAACTTTTAAATTAAGAATTTATGCTAGCTTGAAATTTATGAAATATTTCAGCATGAAAGAAAGCCTTTTTCCCTCAGGAAAATTGAGCAATAAATCACAGCACTGTGGATTTACTGCCCTAGAGCCAGCGAGAGATAGGATTTTTTTTTTTTTTTTTTTTTTTTTTGGCTGTGTTGTGTCTTCATTGCTGCTGGCGGCCTTTCTCTAGGTTTTTTTTTTTTTTTTTTTTTTTGCTTCATTCTGAAAAAAAATGTAATCATATAAGACAGCTTAGCTGCTATCCTCCCACTCTCTAGAATTTTTAATTTCAGCTGTTTCTGCTTGGATTTATTTCCAATATTCCTGCTCGGCTTTTCAATTTCCTCAGTTATTAAATTTTAATTCAGTGCATTAGCATTTAAATTAAAAAAGGGTTTATTTTATCGAAATCGTTGGCCAGCCCCCATCCCGTAGCACACGAATTGCCTGTTTCTGCCATTTGCACAAAATGTGAAATGCAGCTAATGTCTTACAACTTACATTTGCACAAATTTAGAAATAAAATTTCTGGGTTTGGAATAATATTTTCTTTCCAAGAAAATCCTTATGGAAAAGAACAACTTAACGTTCATTTGGGAGGAAGAGGAGGGTCGAATGAAACTAAAAATAGCCTTGCCCAGGTCCTGAGAAGCTGGTGTGTTAGGAATGCATGGGGCTGGGAGAGGAAGCAGGTGCCCTTACGGGGAGCAGGGGCGGGGTGAGCGGGGCCTTGGATACCTTTACCCCCAGCTATGTGAAAGTGAGGAAGAGGACCTCTCATGAGTCCACTCCCTCCACCATATTTCATTTACCCTTGAGGGGTTTGGTTAAGGTTGGGTCAGATCCACATAGAGTATCAGAGATGAAAAGGAGGGGGAGATGAACTCTCGTGCCTCCCGTGCCTGTTTTTACCTATGAGAACCTCGGGTCCAGGGAAAGGAAAGAGCTTGCCCAAGGTACAGAGTGAGACCCAGACAGAGCCAGGCAGAAGCTGCATCTTTAGGAGCACATGGTCCAGTGGCAACAGCAATAGAGTTCCCATTACTTTAGTGGTTACTACACATCCCTGGCCTGTGCTTAGTAGTTTACCTACATAGCTGCATTCAGTTTCATTCTGACCAGCCCTTTGGAGAAGGCCTCGGGGCTGTGGGGTCTGGTAGATGCTCATGACCTTCTGACTTGCAGCCCAGGATTCAGATCAGCCCCGGAGACAGGCTGGGAAGACTCCTGGCTCAGTCCAGGCCTGGCTCTGCCTCTTGCTCGTCTGCTGTGTAATCTTGTACATGTCACTCTGTTTTTCTGTGCCTCAGTTTCTTGGGCCCAATTGGCATATTGCCATTTTGCAGTTGAAGAAACTGAGGCCTAGAGAGTGCAGATGAACTTCCAAGGATTATATAGCTCGAAAATGGCAGACCCAGCACTTGAACTCAGACTTGTCTGACTCTAAGCCCTGTGCTCTTGAACTTTGGTTTAAATTGAGAATCAGATCAGATTACACTGGGTAAAGGTGAGTTTGTGGTTTGGGATGAATTGCATGAAATTGCAGGTAGTAGACCATTTGGGCCTAGGAAAATGACAAAGTCAACTTAATTCAAACAGTAGGACTTGCTTTGAGATATTTCTGAGGACCCAGACAAAGGCGGCCTGGCACCTTAGGGATCTCTACAGTGAAAATGGGGGCCCCCAGCACTGTGGCTGGGGGGGGGGGGCCTGAGAAGCTGTCCCCTGTTTTTATGGTGGGTCTGGACTCAGCCAGGCCTGAAGGCTGAGATTGACAGGTGCTGTGATACTGACACGTGCTCTCTTGGGCATCTCTCACTTGTGCCCATTGTCCATCTCTACCCCTCTTCCCATATCTGCTTCTCATCTCTGCCAATAAACGGACATTTCCCACGCTGCAGGGATGAACTCTTCCCTCCAGCCATCTCATCTCCCCAGTTGTACCATCTAGGCTTCTACAAAAGGATTTGTTTGGACAGCTCTTTGAAAATTTTCGGCATTTTGTCTTTGTTTTATAAAAATGGGTGGAAAACAAAAATGCATGTAGCTACCAGTGATAAGAAGCTCAAATATCATAAACACAGTGAAAGGGAAAATGGCTGGAGATGGTCGGGTGTGCCTAAAAGAGAGACTCTTCCGCTACCCAGTCCCATGTTCAGTACGCTTGAACTGGTCAACTCTGTGAAATTGTGAAGGAAGAGGACAAAAGAAAAAAAAAAAAAGACAGCATTAAAACAACATTAAAAGAGTGTATAAAATTCTAGAAATACATGCCTGGAGTTCAGTTTGAAATTTGAAAGGCTGGAGATCATTGGGGATTTTACAGTTTTTTTAAGCTCTCTGGGATAGAATTTCCACCTCTGCCACTTCTGCCTCTTCTGATATGAGCATTAGAATAACTTCCTCCCATTCGCTTTCCATACAAGTTTGAGGAATGCAAGATGTTGGAAAGAGGCTGTAATTGATCGTGTTCTTTTGCTCCCAGTGAAATGATTTGCAAACCATTTTCCGCTTTCTTGTTTCCTCCATGGAAATAATTCACTGGCATCCCATTAACTGCTCCCTCCCAGGCCTCACGTTTCTACCTCCCTGTTTGTCCTTCACCTTCCCATTTCCCTCTTGTGGGCAGTGGAGGCTGTGTGTGTTCACCCCATTTCCCGATTGTCCCTCCTGAGTGTTGGAGGGAGATAGAATATTCCAGAGCTGAGGAAGGTGGGCATTGGAGTTGACCCAGACCTGGGCTTATAGCCGTGGGATGTTGGAAAAATGCCTGAAATTCTTAAATGGGGACATTGTGTATGTGTGTTGGGGAGCCCATCAAGAGGATTCGGTGAGAGGTGTTGAATGCCCACACACTAGCGCCGGGTGGGAAGTTAGCTCAGGGAGCGAGTCTGGGGTACCCGCAGGGGCCAGGCCGTGGGGTAGGAAGTAGGCAAGAGTGGGTCGTGGGGACTGTGGTGAACCAGGTATGTCAGCTTTAGCTGACCAGTCGTGTGGGACTACGTGTTGCTTTCAGAAGCTGAAATCTGGCTTTCTTGAGGGTGAAATGCCTTTATTTTGATATATTGACTGTTTAAATTGAAGTCCGCCATCTGGTTTTGCCAGCTTGCAGCGTCTCGAAAGCATTCATCCAAAGGTAGCTGCTGCTGTTTTTATTGTAGGTCCTCAATCCTTCATCTGCAATCCTGAAATTCGAAAAGCTTGAAAACAAAAAGATGTTTTGTAACTGGTTAGGCGGCAGAACTTGACCTGAAGGGAGAAGAGACTAGTGCCCGGTTTCGTTTAGCCCATTTAGGGCTGACTGCATAAATTTTACTATAGAAATATCAACGTGCTTGAGTACCAGGGGCTCCCCAGACCCTGCCAGGGTTATTTCAAAATAGAGAACACGTGCGCCACATTGCCTTTCTAAAATTGGAAAGGTTCTGAATTTGGAAACACATGTACGCTAGAGTCTTGAACCTGCATTATTCTAACTGTGATTACCATTATTATTAATGTTTTGACAGAGCTGGGGAATGCATCTCCAGCCAGGGGTGGTGGAGAACCCAGGCGTTTTTCCCATGTCCTTGGCCTCCTCATCGAGGTCTCCCCAGCGCTGGCCTAGGAGTCAGGATCCCCGGGTATTTGTCACGCAGTCCTCATGAGACTTGAGGCAGCTCCCTCCTCTCCCAGGGCCTCAGTCTCTCCATCTGAACCAAAATTTTATGATTTCTGAAAATTTCATTTGGTCAGCCTTATCTTCCCATCACCCAGCCCCAAATAAAAGAGATTATGAAGCAATGCTCTCTTGCCTCATCCTGCTTGCAGGGTTGGGGGACAGACTATTTTAACGTAATAGGATTTTCCCCCTCCAGTTGGTAGGAGTAAATCTTCGGCTACTGTTTTACTGGAAATCCCAGCTGAAAATGAAAACGGTGCAATTCAACCTCAGATTTAGTTGGTTACTTATTTTTCACTGAGTCCCCAGGGCTCTGTGGTTGCTGGGTTTGTGTTGGCAGTGGGTGCTCAGTTGGATTTAAAGGGCCAAGCAAATTGGGGTGTGGCGGTTGGCTGTCCTAACTCCCTCTTACCACTGGGGGCAGACTTTTCTAGCCTGGAAGAATGGAGTAGGGCGTTGTGGCCAGCTAACCCCCTCTGAAGGCTGGTGTTTGAGTGGGAGCTTGGTAGGGTACAGTGGGTAGAATCTGTGTTTTCCTCTTGGCTGATTTAGGTGTTCTGGGTTTCTTTTGCAGGCTGACGGAGCCAGTGCAGCTGGAAGGAAAAGCACGGCAAGCAGGTATGCTCTGCCTCCCCCGCCGCCTGCTGCATCGTCGTTCC